ACACTTTGACAATAATAGTAAAGAGAAAGAAACGATCCAACCGCATGTCGGCGCACATGTAACGCGCTCTTTGAAGGACCATTAGGCACCATTCACACAGAATGCGCTTTTGTGTTGACAGAGATGCGACGCGGGCAGTGGAATAGGAAAAAATGCAAGAAGATGGGAGTTGAACATTTTTTAATAACTACAGCGGCGCGTTTTTAGAATGCCGTTTCATGCATGAGACGCGTCTATGCTTACATAGAAAAAACCCTGGAAAAGCTGCGCAATCAAATAAAAAACCTGTAAAGAACTACTACTGTATGTCTGATGTTTCATGTTTGCATCATGCTGACTGGCTGAAAACTGCTATAATTCTGATTTATAAGATGGTCTTGTTGTTGGCCTTGACGTTGACATTGTTGTTGGGTTGACGATTTACAGGCCTGATTGGTTAGCCCATCCTATATGGATTTTGCTCCTGGTCTGGTGAAGGTTTTGTTGCAACCAACCTATGTTACTTACCTAAGGTCGCTTTCACTTTATTTGACTCTCAGGATGTAGTGTTTCTCCTTTGCCCTTTGAGTCGCAGAAGACTGAAAGACTGCATTGGCTTTTTCCTGTGAAGGCATTATGAATTTTGATTGAATGCACAAACCAGTGGCATAAATATGATCAGCTGTTTGCTTGCTTTGATGGCCGCCACAGGGGTGTTGCTGCTAGGAAACAAAAGATGTTGCATTTGGTGAAGGATGTGATTTCTCTTGTTTATGAGGCATGTATTTGTTAATTCAGGGTCACACTTCTACAAGCATTATCTAAGGGTTCATCTTTGGAGGAGATTTGTTTGGAGAGGAAATCTGTATGATTTAATAATCTGGGCATGGACTTGACTACTGGTTCCCAAGGTTCATCTCTCTGAACACGTGTCAGTTCATTTTCCTTTTTTCTAAGCCTGTATGTGTTCACAGGCAGATAAACTGGCAATCTCTTTGTAGTATGGCACTGTGGTATAGTGTTGCCATAGCATCAGCTACTGATGTACTGAGTGAACCTATGAAAGGGAACAGTTATGTATGTAACCCTGGTTCCCATAGGATGGACAGAGACACTTTATAGCTCTGCCATACTACCATATGTCTCATTCTCTACTTGTTTAAAATGCTATTTTCTGTAGCTTTTTTTAATGGTTCAGTTGCTCAATCTGAACCGGAGTTCAAATCCACCTACATCCTTCTGTCCCCACAGGTCTTCTTTCATTGTATGTTATTTGGTTGTTAACTGTGGCAAAGACACCAAGTTCACTGTATTATTGAAGTATTTGTGAATTTTTTGCACAGATCAATGGATGCAAGAGATCCAAAGAATGTGAGGTACTCTGAAAGCAATTTATTTATAGACAAGCAACAGGAGGAATGCATCATACTATGATTATATTATACAGTTTTATATAATGTAACTGGGAACATGCAAAGATTGCAAATTGCAAAGTATACATCATCAAAATTAGGATCGGTTTCAACTCTGAACCATACCACCTGAACTGTACCCCAAAATGTCCTCATTCCTAGTGGACAAACTCTTTCACACCAACCCTACTAACTGAACTCTGCTCAAAAGAGCCTGATTCTGCACCGAAATCTCCAGTGTGACATTGCCACGAAAACAAGAGACAATTTTGACATGCAGCAACAGCGAAAGGGAATGTACAGGAATGTTAATGCAATTTCTATCATAACATGGAGCCAAAGGTTTGTAATAGCAACACATAAGAATCCTCCAATCATCAGCTACAAATAGATAAAGATTCTGTTGCACTAAACAATAAGCATTTCAGTTTGAGTGATATTATTGGATTCTTATTTGACACCATTAGGGTCCCTGTGGATTGCCGTTTCCAATTTATGACAGATATTGTAATAGCAATCTTTACATTCCTTGAGGATTATTGGACTAGTAGCTCAGATCATGAGTGTCCATAATGAATTATTACAAAATGAACTCGGTTTGAGACATAGTCTCTTCTGGAGTGTTCAGATCTGTTACTCTGGAGCAAACCCAGAAAAGCAGGAAATTGTCACATTTTAAAACAGAAATGATACAACGACCGAACAGCACGAGTTATCAGTTCAGGGGATAAAGAGGTTCTGCCTCTCTTTCGCAACGTCAGCAGATAAGTTTCAAGTCCCTCTCCCTCACTGCCTCTTTTAATTAGTAAAGCTGATCGATCGAGGCATCATCACCCCCTCCACACATCAAGAGCTGTGTGCCTTCGACCGAAGACATTAATGATTCCAGTAAATCAAATGGAAAAATCATATTACGATTGGGGGGATATATCCCCCTTAGTGCCTATTATGATTATGCCTTTGGAGTTATAGGGAGGCAGAACGGCTGCTTAATAGCTGTGCCTGGACCCTATAAATAACACCAGCACACAATGCAACAATTACACCACTGGCAGACTGAAGGATCGGCTGTTTACTGTCACAAATCACTACACCATTTAGCTATTGCACAGAGCTTAGATGTGATATGTATCTACAAACACTCAAATAAGTTGGCATTCCTAACCCATTTGACTTCTGTGGTGTAACATATTTACAAGTAAAACAGGAAATTGATATAATTGTGAAAAGTTGGTGCTCCAAATGAGAGACAACACATTGTCTGTGATGTTACTTGGGCTTATTGTTTTTAAATGAATTACATTTAATACCAGGATCTATAAATCCATGCAGCAGTGTTTTAGATGGTTGACTATGTTTAGGTGATGTTGATGTTGGTTACCTGTACATCTACATCTATCTCTCATCGTATAACAAGGCATGTTAATGTGTCAGACATCTGGATCATTTCAGCTCTTGTATCAGCGATCTCAGTTTGTCTGTTTGAATCATCTCTATATTTGCTGAGCTGAAAAGATATTTAAATATGTTTTTCCCTAGTTCCTCACTGGAGTACAATGCGAGCTGCTCAGTGTGCCAGCGCAAACTTAATTAGATGGATTAGACACAGCAACACAAAGGCTGGTTGGGTAATCTGCTTTGACTGAGCTGGTTATAGGTTTGTCCTGCATGGTTTTCATTCTGGCCTCGCCTATGTTCACGCTTTGAAGTCTCCGCGGAGGGAACAAGAGAGCAAAATGAAAGAGAGAAATTGGGAAGCAGCGTGATAACAGAGGACTCAGTGGAGAAGAGACTTTGGGGGAGAAAGATTTAATAATCTGATGTAATGCTTCCATTTTCTCTTTAACTTTCACTGAGCATCTACGCAGTATCAATATTCACCCTGCAAAAAATGCTATCAGAATGCATATGACAATAAACATTTAAATATATATATATTTTAGTGAATCTCATACTGATTCTGACTTTTATTACTACACACTAAAAAAAAATCTGTAAAAATAGGGCACAATACTGTATAATTTGAAGGATTATTTTCCGTATTTATTTTTTACAGGTGTTTTACCAGTATTTTGAATTTTACACTTCATTGCATTGTGTTTTAGGGTTAACAGAAATGTCTGTAAAATGAATGGACAATGTCGCATGTAATGAGCTGCCAGTACTTTTTCTGTTATTTTACGGATTTATTTTTTACAGTGTAGTCTTAATCTTTTATGCTTGCAAAAATGGTCTTCAATGTAGACATTTCTCTGGTGAATGAGGCACTGAAACTGAGACATGAAAGACTAGCTTGTCTAAATAGAGCATTAACTGTTGCTTTAATTTAAGTTTGATTTCATTTCATTGATATATCAGGAAATGTGTTTGTATATCATGTTGGCCTGTTTTCATAATGTGCCAATACATTGAATACATACACTGGTTTTATGTTTAGGACAATATACTCTATGAATAATTCATGCTTTCATAAAGACACTTTGAGGCTAGCACTTTAAACAATGCCTGGACATAACCTTTAAAACACATCAGGAAAGTAAGATTACGGGATTAAGTGCATTTCTGATTGACATAAAATAAATTACTGGCTGATATGTATTATCTCAAATGACATCTCATAACTGTGAGATTTTGTGCCTGTGTTTGAGTTAATGGCAATTCTGGCCTGAGGTTACAATGGAAATACCTGAAATTTAAAGCTCTAAAAGTCACTGTCTAACTCGGTATCAAACAACGGCACTGCGTTTAATGAAGAAGAAAATATCTGCTTAACTAATATAATTTGCGTGATTAAAAAATATACGGTGTTTCATAACAGGCTATGGCTTAAGATATGCAAAATCAATTACTAAATGCACTTGAATAATTAATTTAAATATATGCATCTTTAAATTTGAATAAGATAAATTTAAATGTGAAGCAACAACAAGATGCAGTATAGCTAACTGGAAACTAAAACTTGAGTGTTCTGAGCACAATGTTTGGACTCGTATCCTCTAGCCTTACACAAGAAAAACACAGAAAGCTTAATAACACAGCCAATACAGCACTTTCAGGTGCTTTTTTTATTAATGCTTACTAAATCCAAACCTGCTTTGACACTATTCATTAATGCTAGTTAAAAATAGTTTGACAGTTGAAATAGTCTGCATTGTTTCATCTTTTGGTCTGCATCTATCCATAAAGATGGTTTTATAACCTAGTGGATTCTCTCTCCTTTGGCCCCTTTTAAAGGGTTAAATACAATAATAATGACCCAAATTACATAATCTATCACATCTCGATTTCGCATCACGAACAACTCAGAAGCTTTATAATTTGAGTGACACAAGAGAAGCCCTTTCGAATGGCTCAAGCCTAGTTTAGCAGTTCATCCCCAGCTTTTAGCTCGACTAAACACATCAACAACAGCATCAAAAGCTGAGCAAGGGGAAGGCAGTCTCTCGGTGAGGGGGAGATCAACAGGGCTCGTTTGGAGGGAAGAAAGGTTACTCGAGCGCCGCGGGGAAGAGGCATTAGGGGCTCTGGTGTGGGAAAGTCTGATGGACAAGCTTCTACATCTATTGCAGATGACCTCTGGCTTGGGAGGCAGGGTTTAAGATCACTCACGGTAGAATACGTATTCGGTGTAGCTGGCCCAGATTTTGTCGTCGGTCTGCTCGTGAGCGAAGGCGCACGTCCCCGTGGAGTTGCAGGCCGCCATGTGGAAGCCGGCATCGGCTAACCGGTCGAAAGCCTGCTCCAAGAAAGTAAACTTTAGGTAATAGCGCGCCGTGTAGCGCTCAGGCGGGCGATCGGGGTCGCGGCTCTCGTTCAACGTTTCCCCGAAAACCTCCTTAGCGAGAGACGTCTTCCCACACACCATAATCCGAGCCACTCGCCGGAACTTGGCGTCTGTTTGGCTATCACGGCCCAGAGTGTAGGAGCCCCGGTAGCCGATGGTGATGAACCCGGAGCACTTTCCGTCGCTGGAGCAAGCAACGGCCCCGACGCTCCGGGCGAAGTCGGCCCCTGGCGAGGGCTCCTCTGGGTCGCTCTGGCAGCCCTCGTCGCCTAGAGAGTTCTGCTTACTGAGCTTTGGTGCCAACAGCTTAACAAGCTCAGGCAGGTTGAAGAACTCAGCCTCTCGCTGCAGCCGTCCTCGCTCCGGGAAATGGTCCGGAAGGACGAGCTGCTGGTCTCGCATGTAATCCAGAATATAACGGAACAGGAATCCGTCTCTGTCGACGAAATAACGACCCTTGGTGTCGCGCGCCAAGCTCTCGGTGCTCTTCTGGCTGAACATCTCCCACAGAAGGGAGTCCGGCACACTTGTTAAAGTCGAGTAGCGGGTGATATACACCTGACCCCCGACGTTCAGCTCAATAATTTCCGGAAAGGCCAGTTCCTTGACAGGAAGGCTAATAGCATTGTCAGGTAAAGCCATGTTTACTAAAGATAAGATAATACTTGGTTAAAGTTTTACAAAAAGTCAACTTAGGAACAGAAATGTACACTAAATGTGAGTGGAGTTTAAAATATCAATACTGTAGTGTCAGATATATCCCAGTGAACTGACTATACGCCTCCAGTTCACCATCACAGCCGCAAAACACAATTTACGCATTATAATAATCCTTCAGTAATGAGTTTTAAAAATGTAAATTAAGCACACGTGGCTCTGAAAAGCTCACCGATGTCAAACGCTGCCAAGCAAAAACTGACTTTTCAGATGATGTCCCTTTCATTTGTCTATAATCGAAGGTCCCAGACATATAGACAACGTCCAGTTCACACGAACCTACCGTAAGTCTCACGGAACAATGCCGTCTAAAGAGCCATCTGTGAGTACATGTCAGGTGTTGTCACGGAAATGTCCATTGCAGAAATAGACGTGAATGATAAAGAGTCATGATGGCTTTGCTCTCGCTTCTCTCTGCGCGCTCTGCCACCGGACCATAATATTCCCGCGAGCCGGCCACGCCCCTGCGCTGCGACGTCATCAGCGCTAGCCCCGCCCCCGCATCATCCGCATACACTTCACGAGACTCGTTTCTACACCTAGTCTTTTTAATTGTAATTTCTTATACTTTATTGTCTCTACAATACAAGAACAATACATTCTGAGGCATTTCATAAAACTATGTGATTTATGAAGAATGAAGGCTAATTACTTATGTAGCCTATCTCTATGTTGATTTCCATATAGTTATTTTATATTAACTTACATTAATAAAAAAATATATATATATAAGTTTTATTGTTAATCGCCTTATTTATCTACTATTAACATAATTATTGTTGTTACTAGCAGTATTATTCAGTTGATTGCATGTTTTGGCGTTGTTTTCTGTTCACGTTACTTAATGTGTTAATCATACATTTTCAATAATGAATTTCCTAAACAACATTCAGATTGTTAAGTTTAGAAAGTAGCCTACCAATAAAATACACACAACGAAGTAGATTTTAAACAAAATATTAAAATAGAATGTAACACTGACATCTAGTGGATAAAAAAAGCGCTGAACAGATGTTTCAGAATCACACACACACACACACACACACACACACACACACACACTCTCTCTCTCTCACACACACACA